GGACTTATAAGATGGTTTCTATACTGATTAGAGCTCTCAAGAACTGCCCTCAATGTTGTGCTTTGCCTCTGGTCACTTCCTGTCAGCACCTGTGTGTCCAATCAGACTCAAAGCTGATCGTTTGCTCTTACTGACATTGTTCCCTTTTTTCTAGATCCTTGCTTGTGTTGTTCTTACTCTCTGATGTGCGTCGCTTTGGATAAAAGCGTCTGATAAGTGAATTGTAGAATGTGTACTGTAGAATGACAATAAAATAATAATTCAAGCTATAAAGTGTGGATGAACACGTATGCTGAGCGGTCAACAATACCTGCCTACAAGGTATCTGTGTTGTACAAGTATAAATATCTTCAGTATGAATTTCATGGCCTTTCACTGGAAGCTTCTGAGCGGCGCTTAGATCTCGTCTCACTTCTCACGGATGAAGCCGTGTGAGACAGAAACGCTGGACAGTGATGGAGAATGGCTGAAGCTGCTGTGGATTACTCAAAGCGTCTGGGTTGACTCTCCTGACATTTAAGCCAAAACACAGAGACAGTGAGCGAACACTATTCTTCACTGTAGCACCAGCAGAGAATGATGAAGTGTGCACAAAGTCTCTAAACCTGTACTATTATATTTTATTGAGAAAGTAGAAAAGAGGGGATTTGACCAAAAAGGTGGTCTGACTCTGAACATGTATGACTTGAACAGAGAGTCCATATCATGAATGACCTGTGACAGTCACAGGCTTAATGTGTTTCAATTATTTCTGTTATTTCCTTTACATTTCTTTAGTATTTTGTTCTGTGGATCCATGGCGTAACATGTTTAATGAATTTCTTTATTATCGACAATGTGCAGCTAATGGCTCAGTTTGTAGAGTCAGTCATCTCTCAACTGGAAGGTAGAGGGTTCGATCCCCAGCTCCTGCAGCCACATGTCCGATGTGTCCTTGGGCAAGACACTTATGGTGCATTCATGTGGTATCGGACACATCAGTCCGACACCATCAGAGTTGTAAAATGCACATGAACGCCCGCTCATTTCGGAAGAAGTCGGAAACACTGGGAAAAAATGAGGTGTCCGACTTGCCGACTTGTATCATCACATGGGGGGCACATACATTTTTGCTCAAATATAACTCATAACACAAACATTCACACTTCTTCATAGCATCAACGCTTTTTTTGTAGTTGTTACATCAACCCGTGAACACAATGAAGTCGAAAGAACGACTTCCCTACTCGGAAACTGGGACCATCCGAGGTGCACATGAATGCAGCATTAACTCCAAGTTTCTCCCTCTGCTTCGTCGGCCGCGGTGGCTTATTATTGTAATTGGTGAATGGACTTGAGCTTGTAGTCCTTCTGAGTTTTCTTCTGTCCCATCTGTGCATTGAGAACAAAAACGGACATTTCTGTCCTTCTTTAATCTTATTTTGTTTGCACGTTTTAAGGAATCTTCTTAGTACTAGTAAAATCTGTGATTTCACTTGTGACATTACTGGGGAGACAGAGACACCTGCTGGTCGGTTTCTGTTGCTGCACTAAGCCTGAGCTTAAATATCAAATGTTTTATTCGGACACACACTCAGATTGTGTTTGGTATATTTGGGCCTAATTAGCAGAATTTATACAGCTGTAATTGAAGTAAAACTTTAATTTCATGAGTCCTCAGATCCTGGCAGACAGCAGCGTCCCACCTTATTTGACAGTTTAGTACAAATAGGAAATCAAATTTAAAAAGCTGTGAAAGTGTTCACTACAGAGGCACAGTTGATAAATATCAACATCTGTGTCATTAGGGAGGAAGCAGCAGAGTGAGAGGACGGCTAGAAAAGAACAGATGAAAAGAGAAGAGAGTGAGATAGAGGGAGGGAGGAGAGCAGAGAGTAAACAAGGCCATCTGGGAAATAAGTCCAGTCATTTCCATGTGTTGCTCTGAGCTGGGGGTTTAACAAGCTGTGCATAAAGACAAGTGTGTGTGTGTGTGTGTGTGTGTGTGTGTGTGTGTGTGGGTGTGTGGGTGGAGTTCCTCTTAATCATAGCTCTGAATGTTCAGCAGGAGGTAAACCTACTGGGAGGAGAAACTTGTTAATTGAGATCTTGATCCTCCAGAGGTGTCTGCTATAACGTCAAGCACTCCCGTTTTTTTTCTTCCTTTTTGCGGATATTTTATTAGCTGGTGCAGGGCCACACTGGAGGGCACGGTTTAATGAGGTCTGTGCATTGTTGATGTTCGTGGGAGCTCCTTATATACCACCAGGCTTCTACAGAGGTTTACTCGAGAAAAAAAAAAAAGATGTCACCTGAGTTCATTCTTTTAGATCTTACAGGGCGCCTACTTTGATTTATAGATTGAGTTGGTGAACAGACGCAATTATATTCATGTAAATAGAAATAAGAACATTTGTATCCATCTGGATCTTTTTCATTCGTACAGATAGGGAATTCATTGCTAAATGGCCTTGAGCTTGTAGAGCACTTTTCTAGTCTTCTGACTACTCAAAGCGCTTTTTACACCACAGGTCACACCTACACATTCACACACTGATGGTAGTGTAGAGACTTGGTTGAGGACAGATCGGACATGTTGCTGCAGGAGCTGGGGCTCAACCCCCAACCTTCTCGTTTCAGAGACGACGACGACGACGACTCTACCAACTGAGCCACAGCCGCCCATCTTCATTGGCATCTTCAAAGTTTAAACTCCACCATTCTGGATCTCAAAGACAGTGACTGGTCCTCTTTTGAAAATCGGTGTTAATTTGGCTAAACGGATCCTCCAGAGACACTGGAGGAGGAAACACGAACCCCCTTATGAAGAATGGGTCACAACGATGGCTCAGTTATCTGCTGATGATGGAGTAACATATTCTCTGTGGGACAAGCTACATCAACGCGGGAGCACCCACAGACCCTTAGTATTTTTTCCGAGTGAGCTGATGTGAGAACGCAGCAGGATATTCTCCGGAGAATTCCCCTCAAGCCAATGGGGGGGGGGGAGTGACGTTTATATCCTGTGACTGCTGCATGGTGCATAGAATGTCGGCATGCGACCACTACGATCTCTATGCACTGAATTACAGCTGCAATGCGTCTCTGTTGCTCCGTACACTAATTCAGTGTCTTTATTTAAAACACGTCTTACCTCAGTAGACCCCTCGTCTCCCCTCTTTTCAGACAGGTATAGTCTCCAGCTGAGAGGAGCATACTGTATGAAGAACATCCTGAGCAGTCCTCCTGAAACGATCTAGATTTTTTCCAGGAGTGCACGTGAAAGCGGCTTTAATGTCTCTCTCCTTATAGCATTACATATCTTATGTATGCATATGTAATAAAACTTTGATACATGTAATAATTACATATTGTCTCCTACTTTTACTCCTATGCTAAGGCTTAACTTTTTAATAATAGTTAGCTTTTTTGCTTGTTCCTTGAATACAATGTTATCATCCACTGGTTTCCTGGAGGGAGAGAATTGGGGATTCAGCCTTTTTTTGCAATTATGCAGATATCAGGGAATCATGCTCACTAACTACGTCAACCTCAAACAAATGACTTTCCTGATATCATGCTGTTTGAAGTCTGTTTATACACTGCTGCATTTGTGTGAATTATGTTTTCCATTCTTCTTTTACCTCATAGCATGTTATGAATTCTAATTTTAGTATTTATTCTTCTTCTTTAGAGGATTTTATTTCTCCCTCTTCAGCATTCAGTGTACTTTATTTCATCTTTATTTTCCTCTTGGAGGGGTTGTACTTTATTCCAAATCTTTTTTTTATATAATGGCCCTATCTCCCGATTTTTATGTTCCTACTTAAACTTTTCATGTGAAGGATTTGGAGCATGAAATGTTCTTTCTGTAAAGCAGTCCGAGCTGCTTTTCTTGTGTGAAAGATGCTCAAATTACAAAGCTTTATAAAAATGATTTTCAGTTTTCTAACTTTATCTTGGAAGTAAACCCACATACGACTTTTCTTCCTTGTTTTATTTATTAGTGTGTAATGATTTGTAGATGTAGTGCGTGCACAGAATGCTGTTTTTTTTCCACCCTTTGTTTGAAGAGATAATAAAGACAGATTCCTTTGAGCTCTGAACTTCCGCATTGGCTTCATTGTTCAAGACTGGTGGTTGCTCCTTGGTTTAGACAGGTTTATTATTAATCATGTTCACCCACTGTACTATCTCAATTATTGTTCCTGGTCATAGCAGGAATGTATGTATTTTGATCCTGTTTGTATTATCTGTATTTTGTAGATTTAAAGCACTTTGTGACCTTTTTCCTGTGTAAAGTGTAACATAAATAAACTTGACCTACTTACTTGATTGGATTTAATTGGTCAACTTTAATATCGGGCTCAGTTTCAGCAGATGGCTGTTCATCATGAGTCTGGTTTTGTCTCTTTAAAGGAAGATTTTTCTTGCCACTGTAACTTTGCTAAATGTTGCTTTGTGCTCATGATGGATTAACGTTGGGTCTTTGTAACATAGCAATGAGTTAAAGTCTTCTACCTGCTCTTTTGTAAAGTTTCTTGAGATAAGACTTAGTATGAATTGACGCTTTACAAATAAAGATTGATTGAATATAAAGTATATTATGTCTTCTCTGTAAAGTGTAATGGATTGTGCAAACACGTGTTTAATTTTTTAATCATCCCGTTTACTTTTCTTCTTGTACAAAGGTCAGGTTTAAACGTTTTTCTTCTTCCTCCACATTTTCGTTCCTTGTACAGGCCAAACGAAAAGGAGGGAAGCCTCGACATTGTACCGCTTGAACAGAACGAAATAAAGAAATGTTCTCCATAAAGATCGACCAATCTGAACAGTTTTAAAAGGACAATCTTCAGCACTTCTAGTCATCAATGTGGGGGCCGCATGGCGTACTGACAGATGTCTTATTGTTAGGAGTAGTCGAACACAAAGTGAGATCATGAATGAAACCATTTATAAAATATAACAGCTTTTTTTCCATTCATTGACCAACAGTAACAAGAAAGCATTAAACAAACCGATTCATGTTTGACATGATTTGCATTTATTTAGACGCCAAATATTTACCTTTGTTGTCCTTGTGAATACGTTTACCAACACTCAAACTGGAGACTGATCAGCTGTGCAAACAAAAGGCAGGAGCTACAGATCTAAGCGGTTCATGCCGAGTCCTTTTTGTTCTGCAAACAATCAGTGGAAGTGATACAAGAGCTGCACGCACACACAAATAAAAAAAAAAAAAAGTCCACAGTGGGGCAGCTATCAATGTCCATTAGAGAGCTCAGCTTTCATCTGCCTCCAGGTTAATGTTGTTACCAAACTTGGCATAGAGCTGGATCTTCAGACCCCCCAACACATCCTGTATCGCCGACACCCGCTCCTCGTGACCCTTGACCTCCAGCTCGAGTGCTTCCTGATTACAGAACATGAAAACGTGTTATATGATTACCACCTGAATTCCCCCCAACAACATGAGGCATGCAACATCTGGGGCTAAGAACACTTCCATAAGCCAGTTCTACTAAAATAATCCTGTTGGATAACTCTTTGAGAGAGCGGCTGAAGGTTGAGGAGAAAAAGATGCACTAAGTTATAATCAGCAGAGATCAAAAGATGAGAAGGGAGCCGTTCCTGACAGGTTGTCATTCAGTGTGTGTGTGGCAGACTGCTGCACATCAATCAGTAAAGGCATGTCCGGGCTGCTTTGTTGTGTGATGAAGCAGCAGCAGCAGCAGCAGCAAAACCAAGGACAAACAGAAAGTTACAGAGGAGAGGACGAGCATTGATCTGAACCGTCTCCCGGTCACTGTCTGCCCTCTCTCTGTAGTTTATCCGCTTTGTGGCAATGACACTGAGCGGCTCGTCTCCCAAAGGCCCACAAGGAGGGTTCTTACACGCCCCTGTGTGGCAACTGCCATCTGGCTGCACGAGGCCGCATAACACAAAGTCGAGAGGCAGCTTCAGTGGGTTGGGTTGATGCCTCCTTCCTCAGCTTTGTTCTGATGTAATGCTAACTTGTTATCCGACTATCACTGCACATAAACCTGAAGAAGTTGTTCCACATCTTTTTAAATATGTGTATTATTTCTTTAAAGAGGTAGATGAGAATATTCATACCACCCTCAGGTCTTTCATTTTGTTCAAGTCACCGTGAAGTTGCAAAATCAATCAGTTTAGAGTCCTGAAGTCAGTGTGTCTGGTCGAGAACTAGCCCAGCACAAATAATCAATACTGTTTTCTCTTTAGCAACACGTTGCTAAATGCTAACACATCTAAAGTCTAGTTGAAGGTTAGGGCTTGTGCCACACATTTTTTATGCATCAGGCTGTGGTATGATGATTCACTTTGGGGGTCGATGCCACCTTTCTGTTTTGGTTTGCAACTAAACTCAAAGTCTTATGTAAAGCTTATTCTCTGCGTATTTGTGATCAGTAAATGAATGCACACTGAGCGCTTATCTGTACAACAAGAAGCACGAGCTCAGTAAAAGATGTTTGGATCGGCTTTTCAGATTTGTGCAATTTTAATATTTATTGACCACTAAGTATAAGAAAATCAGTCTTTGGACTTTGGTATCAAAGGGGAGAGCATGTTAGAACCTGAATGTTTATATGTTTCCTTCATGGCGCTTGAAGAAAAACCAACTTATTTTTAACAAATCGAAACAGCATGTGTTTGACAAATTCTTGACAAGATTGAATGAAAACTTATAATGGCTTTAACGACAATGAAAGATGTCAAGATTTTGCAGGTCGCTTAACAAAACTTTGACTTTGTGATGCAGTGCACAATTAGAAGAAACTCACCAGTTTAAAACAACACCTAATGTGTTGATCATAAAAAAAACCTCAGGAAATCACTCGTTTAAACACAGGAATCTCATCAGATAATATAATATCAGACATGATCTGGATACCAGTGGCAGGAGTTTAAAATAAACTCAGTACAATTTAATTAGAAGAATATGATCAGATCATTTGAATTCCTAAATATTTCCCACAAATATTTTTTATTAAATAAAAAAAATGTCTTCCCTTTTAATATGTTCACTTCATAGGCCTTTAATCAGGAGGACAAATACTGATCAACTTCATCTCTTTGTCTATCATTGAATGTAAATTCTCCTTCATTGTCTCTTTTGATGACTTTGGTTTAACGAGAGTCTTTAATGGGTGATTAAAGGCTCAAAGAGCGTGTGTAGGTATTAAGAAACTAACCTTTGCAGCCTCCAGCATCTCCTGTGTTTCCTCCTGGGTGTGATTGATAAAGACATCCCCAATTTGATAAGGGATCAATAGAGTGTCGTCGTCTAACATCATCAGGTCATCGCTCGCGTCCTGAAGGTTCTGCAGCGATTTCTGCATCAAGACATTAGCAGAATATTGAGAGGTTAATTAATGAAGGATGTTAACAGCTGAGTCGTTAAGAAGCAGCGCTCCCCTTCATTGTGACTCATCTGAACAAACAGCGTTGATATGACATTAAAGTCGTTTCTGTAGGCCGGTGGTGAATTGTGCCGTGTTAGCCCAGAGGTGTGGACCAGGTAGGTGTAAGGGCAGAGTCAATATGAGAGAGTGACCATTGAGTTTACTCAACACCTCCTTACAACAGTTCAACAAACATGACAGTGGACATGTTTGTTTACACTGCGTCCGCTCTGTGACTCATAACCTGGCTCTACGTTTCAGGAGTTTGAACACAGTTAAACTCCCTAATCTCCAGACAGGCAAACAAACTAAATAATTCTCAAATCAATAATTGTATTTAAATACGGCCTGTTCAAAACTAATGTCATCTGAAGACACGTTACAAAAAGAGCAGGTCCAGACTCTACTCTTTGTTGTAATATTTACAGAGACACAACATAAATCTCCAATGAGTACAGCACTGAACTAACATGAACATTTACTGATTGTCAATTCATTTTATACCATTTAAATCTAACTCTAACATTATGGTACTGTTTGTTAAGACTCTTTAATGTGTATTTAAATCTCTTTGTTCAGCACTCAACATGTAAACGTAATAATGTTTACCATGTTCATATAAATATCTGTCATAAAAAGGTAATTATTATCATTAGGGATGAGACAGATTTGATGTCATATCGGTGTATCACACGGTCTCCCTTTGAAGACGTTCAGACAGTGTCCACAAATCGTCTCCATGACGACGTTCAGACGAGATAAAACAGCTTCTTCTATATGATCAAAAGTGCAACTCTCACACTTCAGTTTGAAAGATTTATTTTTGGAAACCTGACAGTTGATGACGCTTCATGGTTGTATGTTAAGCTGGCACAATGTTCAAACACATTTCTTTGCAATAAATTAATTTTTATTGATTTATTTTTACTCTCGTATTAATATTTGCAATGCCGGGTTTACTGAAGCTCTGTGTAGCCTTACACAAAAACAAAAATGACATTATTAGCTATGATTTAATTGAAAAAATATCTTTAAAGGTCCCATATTCTGCTTTTTCTGGTTTTATATGCCTTTAGTGTGTTTTCCATGTGTCCTGTGCATGTTTAGGAACATCTGTGTGCAAAAATTCAAAATCCGCGGAAACACAGCTTCTCCTACGTCCTCCTGTTAGCTGTAGCATTAGCTGCATGTAACGCTCGGTTCTAGCCCCCCTCCATAAAAATGTGTCAGTGCGGCGTCATTGTCAGTGTGAGATCACTGATCTAAGCCCATTGGCTCGTTGTGGCAAGACCTGCAGCTCATGTTGAAATTTCCGAGACGCGTGCTGAGCAACTGACCAATAACGACAGAGCGGATCGGCAGACCAATCAGAGCAGACTTGGCCCACGTGGGGTCTAACAGTGTGGGCTCAACAGAGTGTAGCTGACGGACTCAGAGCGTAGAGGGAGCAAGGAGGAGCAGTACATGAAAACAGACACTTTTTTCTGACTTTATCTATTGTGAACGTACAAAAGTAGGAACATAGATTAAATATACAAACCCCAAAAGAGCAGAATATGGGCTCTTTAAAGTAAGTATGTCTAATCTCCTTTAATCTTTTTAAGGGTTTTAATCTGTTTCCTATGACTGTTTGAGTCTTATCATAGTGATCCTTTAATCGCTTATCTTTGGTGATATTATTATTTTACATTGTATAAATACCCTTTCGTCTTTGATTGCCTCGGTGGTTTTAACACTGAAAACAAAAAAGAAATAATACAATGTGTCATTTCTCTTTTATTTACATTGCTAAAGCACTTTGTAAACCTGTTACGCTACATAAATAAAGTTTATTATTAACATGTTTGTTTTAGGTGAAGTGTTACCTAACAGCAGTAGTAGTTATTGTAGTACCATTAAGTTTCAGGTTACTTTATTTATCTCATTTTTACCTTTACAGTTATATTGTATATATTAGTTCTGTTGTTCCATTATGCACCTTATTTAACTTATAATTTAGTATTTACCTACCTGCACATAACTCTGTGTATATATATATATGTGTATTTCTCGTTTAGTTCTGTTTACATCTGTTAGTCCGATCACCACTTATATCTACTCTTTTATATTTTGTATTTTTAAGTTTAAGCTTTAAGTTGTATTTAAATTGGCACTTTATATTTAGGTTTTGTGTATCTGCACTGTTGTTAATGTCTCTGCACTGTTGTTAATGTCTCTGCACTGTTGTTAATGTCTCTGCACTGTTGTTAATGTCTCTGCACTGTTGTTAATGTCTCTGCACTGTTGTTAATGTCTCTGCACGTCTCTTACTTTCTTCGCCTCTATCTCCTTCTTCAGTTCCGTCATCCGGTTCGTGTTTCTGGCGAATTTATTGATCTTCTGTTGGTCTTCAAACGTCACGTTCACGTCTTCAACCGCCTGCAGACAAAAGAGGACAAGACGTGAAATCAACACACAGAAAAACACAACAAAGAACCCAGTGAACACAGCTGGTGTTAGCTGAGAAGCTGCAGACGACAACACGACTGAGGTCTTTATCGCGCTGTCGACGGCTAACGTTAGCTTCTGTCCTGAGCCACACGAGGGTGTGTCCAAGACGTTTCTAACACCCCGGGAAGCAGTTATCTGGCTGGCTTTCTCCCCAATAACGACATATAATATCATTTAATTAATGCTCCAATCAAAACAGCGACAGGAGGCATCGAAAACAGAACAGAAGTTGCTTAATTTTGTAACTTACTACGGGTCCCTTCATGGTGGCTGCCATCTTGGCTTCTTCGACTGCACAAAGAAACGGGGAAACACGACGATGTAGTTACACCGCCACCTAGCGGGCAGGACAGGGACGGGCTGAGGCAGAACAATAGTGATAATGCAAAAGTTTAATCATTTTTGTGACTTTTTCCTACTTTTTAATAACAAATTCTTTTTGCAACTTTCGTCTGTCGAATAAACAAGTCACCAAATGTGGCATCAAACAGGTTTTAACTTAAAGCTGAACACTAATTTACAACTCTGTTTTTGCACATTTACATTTAATCTTTCATATTTAAGACTAGTAATTCTTAGTTAAATCCTGGTTGTATATATTCCCATTCTTAGTTTTGATATTTTTAGTGCTTATTTACTTTGTATTTAATATTATATTGTGTTCAGATTTGCTAACATTGTGTTTTTTACTCATTGCGTGTTTGGACAACCTGCTGCTGTAACGCCACAATTTCCCAGTTTGGGATCAATAAAGTCATTCTATTCTATTCTAATGTTGCTATTTTGCCATGGTAAATCTGATCAGTTGTAACCTCAATTTTCCAAATGTATACAATTATTACTATTATTATCATAAAGTATAATAAGAAATGTTCATACCTGCTTACAATATGTGGAACTAGTTATTGTATCAACCGGAACTGCTGTTCAGCAAATATTTCTAAAGCAAACAGTACTGCGCCCAAGTTCAAATATTTACATGTGTGAAGCGAGGGTGATATTAATCCAAGCTACTGAAGCTACATAGGGTTGCGATGGATGTAATGTAGTACACCACATCAAAGTGCTCAATTACTTCATATGGGCAGTTTAGCCTACCAAGATAAAATCACACTGGCTCCAGTAATTTAGTCCAGCTTGAGATTTGTATACTTTGTGTGAGGGGCTGTGACACAAATATACATTTCTGTGGGCTGTCCTGCGTTGGTTCACGCAGAGTTTGCTTGAGGTCTCTCAGCTGCAGGCCCTGAAGGCATGAAGTCAGAAGTGCACAATTCAAACAGGGGAATCCAAACGACTCCCACCTCAATGTGCAGGCCATAGGCTACAATCGGGACATTGTGTTTGTGCATTCCAAGCCTTGTCATAATAAGTTCAATACATAGTGCACATTTGAAGCTTTTAAACACAGTTTCACATTGGCTGACAACAAATGCAGTACTTAGTAGCTGATTTGCATATAAAAGGTTTGACATGTGTCATGAAAAAAAATAAAAATGAGTTTTAATGGGCTTTTGTCAGCATGATCATAGCTCTTTTCCTCACAGAAGTAGCCTGACAAAACAAAGACCCGAGACAAATAGCAGAAAGAAGGAATCCGTTGATGAACTACGGGCTCTCAGATAGGCCTGTGAGTATTGATGCATTGACAGGCCTTTGTGAGAGTCTGTAAAGACGGATGATTTCATTACAGAGCGCTTTGTGTGTCTTGATTAACTGTGATAATAAAACAGATACGTGATCATTGCAACTAAAAAAGCTTTCATTTATGAAATAACAACAACAAAATAAACAAGGACTTTAAAGGCTCATGCCAGCTGGATTTTTTCCCACTATTTCTTAAAATCAACACACCCTGAATGGGAATCATAAAAAAAAATCCAAATAACAAAGACTCAATTCAAGGCATTCTTATTATTCTTACTCAAATCCAAGGTATTAACCAGGTTGATACTTCAGGGTTGTAAGTCAAACATATTATTTATGTTTTGATAGTAAAAGAATATGTCCGGTCAGTATCCTCAATGCACATCCTGTTACCTCTCAGCTGCATTTGTCAACAAGACTCCACTGCACCGCCTCATCACAGGGTGATTGATTGGAGTGTTACCTGTTCATGATCTTGTTGAGGTATATGTTCACAGGATACCCACAGAGATTACCATGAACTCATCATGTGATTTTACAAAAGAAGGCCAACACCTTGTAGGGCGGATGGCAGGCTTTCTACTGGAGGAAATCCAAATTGATTATTTTAAAAGGTTGCACCCTTTTTTTAAGCACACATTAAATAGCCTGTTTACAGTAGCCTTGTATACACAGTTGGGCAGGAGCTGCTAGTCCATCACTGGAACTTTCCATATTTTTCCCTAAGGAGGATATACTTTACTCGGCTGCAAAGGTGTAACAAGGTAAGACATTTGATATATATGGAAGTTTGACTCAATGCTATGTCATTAGAATATCAGTGCAATATAACACATTTGTCTTTATTTTTTCTTTCAGTTTTACCCGAGATAAAATTCTGTGTCTGTAGGAGTTTGACTGGGAAAATATGGGAAACGAGCAAGCAAAAGCTAAAGAGCGAGCAAAGGTAAAATTACAACAATTACAATTCAATCATTACAATGATTCCTTATTACTACAATTTATAACCGTGTTTCCTCTGAAACAAAGTGGACATGGAAGTGTCTACATGAGTTCTAGTCAAAATAAGTGTTTCTGTTCAAATTAGCCCAATACAATTTTTTTAATGATGGAGCTAACACAGATTTTTTTTTTTTTAAATAATTTTTCATAGAGTTTGAAAAAATCAGAGAAGCATGGAAATGGATCAGTGCACGGCCTCTCCGCAAACATCACATCTAATGGATTGCAGGTTAATGGTGAGTGGAAACTTAATTTCTTCTTGGTATTAAAAAAACAGAAGTCTATTGGATATGTCAAAGTGTAACGCTAGTGATATTGCGTAATACAAACAAAAGCAGACACAAAGTTAATATCTGTTACCCTGGAGCATCTGAGGATGCGATAATGTTCTACTTTATCTTTCTACATCACATCATTCTTTATGGGAAAAGATTCTGTTTCTGACGGACAAAATCAGCTGATCATCCCATGTTGGATTAGTCTTTTGGACTTTTATATGCTCTGTAAACACTGTGACTCCCAGCTGGACTATGCCTTGAGTCTCCTAATGTAAACTCTAGGCGTAGTCACAGACCATTGACAAGGAGCAACTATTTGACCAGTCACTGTGTGTTTTTGTAACTCAGGTGACACCGTAAGATTCCCACTTACCTTGAGTTTGTTTAAGAGTGGATGCTGACGCCAGCGTTGATAATACATTTTTACATGTTTACTTTATGGAATAATAACACTCAAATCAACATTGATATCAAGTGGTATGGCTTCTTGAGAAAAATAATTGTGAAAATTACAATCAGTAGTCCCAACAGTAACATCCTTCCCATACAAAGACCAAACTGTCCATGCTTAATCTTTGGCCAATATCTGAAAATGAGCAACTAGAAATACAAGTGTATCTGCCTTTATTTGGTTAAAGTTCCAATTAGGTTTGGTGACAGCTGGTTAAGGTCGTACAGTTTGGAATAGTTGGACCATCTGCCGACGTTTTTGTTCATGTTTTGATAACAGATTCTTCTTTTTGTCTGTTAAAGGTGGGAAAACATCTGTAGACCTCCTCACAGATACAACAGATTATGTAGTAATCGAAGCAGACTCTCTACCTGCTCCAGCTGGGACTCCAATTATTTCTGAAGTCCTGGAAACTGCCACCAAGACAGAGGAGGTCCTGGAAACAATGGACGAGAAGAAGGAGGTCTTGGAATCCATGAACGAGAAGAAGGAGGAGGTCTTGGAATCCATGAACGAGAAGAAGGAGGAGGTCTTGGAATCCATGAACGAGAAGAAGAAGGAGGTCTTGGAATCCATGAACGAGAAGAAGGATGAGGTCCTGCAAACCTTGGACCAGAAGAAGGAGGTCCTCGAAGCCATGAACGAGAAGAAGGAGGAGGTTCTGGAAACCATGAACGAGAAGAAGGAGGAGGTTCTGGAAACCATGAACGAGAAGAAGGAGGCCCTGGAAAACACGGTACAGACAGAGGTCAAGAAAAGTAAAGAAAAACTCAATCTGTTTGGCAAAATGTTCAAAAAGAAAGCAGAACCTCCCGCTCCTCAGCCAGTTCCTGTCGAAGTTGAAACAGTTCAAGAAATAGTCACGCCAACTGAAGATAAAACAGATCAAAAAGCTCCAGAGGAAACTCCCCCTGCCACTGATCCAGAGCTGGTAGGTGTACTTTTAATGCTGTTCTGTGATACTCTATATTTCTTAGTCAACAAATCCCATGAAAATACAAATGACAGTAAAATTATCCTTTTTATTGTTTTACTTCCATCAGGTCTCCAATATAGCCTTCTAAATGTTATTCATCAATGCCCTAGAGGTCGATTGTTTCCCAAAAAAGGATGGTAGGGAATTCCAAAAGCACTGATTGAAGCGCTGTTGCATTGTTTATTTGGGTTTTTCGATGGAATTTGTTGAGAGCAAAACAAAGCTAACTAACTAATTTCTCCAGTGATAACAAGTGCATTTCAGTTGTTTTGTCAAGATTTCAACTTGTTCATCTCATTGTCTCTGTAACAATACCAGTTTTTTTCGCGAAGTCTTCTGGAAAGCCAGCGTTGTTATCCCGAGATAACGAGATACATAAGTTGAGATCTCAATGAAACAACCGACTGTATTCACTGGAAAACTGGGTAAAATAAAAATGTATGGATGTATATCCCCTTGCTTGAGTACTAAAACATCCTACCTGCCAAAGTTCCTGAAATCATTAAAATTTAGATCACATGTCCTAATAATATCACAATAATTTCACAGAATATATGCTTTTCATTTAGTAATAACTGAATACTAACTCTCACTCACTGTGAAGCCAACAATGAATATAGATATCTGCATGATGTGCAATAATGCACTGTAACACATACGACCTGCAACAGATACTACTTAACTAACAATTATTTGTTGTTGTTGTTGTAATTTGGTTTGTCTTTTGTCTTGTTTTGATTGTTTAATATTTGACAGCGTAATAATAAAATGAAATTTTCCCCAACCCCTTTAAATAAATGGTGCAAAATTAAGAAAACAATTTACTAATCTAATGTAATCCAATAAAACAACACCACCAGCTGTAAGTATTATGCAGGACTTTTGCATGGCATTATAATTAAGTGATGAATGTGTGATCAAGCACATGGTTGTCTTACGTGTCCCAGTGACAAAACAAATATATTTTATCTTAACATAATTGTTGATTTTCGTGAAAAAGGAGTCC